ATTTGATATCTATACCTGGTTCCATTTCACCATCATCAACTCCTTCAATCACTTTGACTTCAGCTTAATGACACCTAATTAGTTCAACTTCTCTTTTAACAGTTAACAGAACTTGACCTTTGTTATTCCCAAACGTCATTTTATCAAAATCAATTACAAACTTCCTTGGTAGTAGATAGTCCAATCCTAATATACATTCGTCTTCAGTGTCAGCCAAGTATACTTTCTGTCTGTCCTTTATGCCCATGAGCTCAATTGGTACCTACACTGGTCCCCACAACCTTGCAGAATGTCCTGTCACACCACAGAGCTTCTGTATGGCTTTTGGTACTCCTTCATGATCTAACACCTTGATGCTCACAAGGGTTTGCTGAGATGCAGAATCTATGACAAAGTGGCACCTTTGGCCATCCAGCTTTCCTGTCACATAGACACTGTGTGTGCTTGGCATTTTACACCTAGCTATAGGGACTTTCATGATGGGGGTTGGTGAGTGTCTCTCAACACCAACCACTACTGGTCTCCTTGAGGCTGACTTGTTGATAATATTCTTCCTATACTGGCTCCTCAGATGTCCTTGCTCCCCACAGTTCCAGCAGCCTTTCTGGGTAGCAGCCTCTCCTGCTGTATCATCTCCCATGTGTTGAAGTTTCCAGCATTGAGCTCTCTTGTGCCCAGGTTTGTTACAGTGCCAGCAAAGTCCCTCAAACTTCTCTGAAAGTTGACCTTTTCTGGCCTTAAATCCACATGACTGTACCAACCTTGGTACCTCTGTGCTGGACTTAACGTAGGATTCAAATTCGAGAGCTCTGGCCATTGCATCCTGCATGGTATAGGGGTGTGCTTGCTTCACTTGTATCTTAAGTTGTGGATGGTCCAAGGCATCTTCGAACTGATCCCTCAGCAACAACTTGAGAAAATCGGGTGGTGCAGTTGGGTAGGTCTTGTGTGCCATGCTTTCCAAGTCCTGTGCCAGCTCTTGCAGGCTCTCCCCTTTAGCACGGACTCTCGTCCTAAACCTAGCCCTGTAGACTTCTGACTGATTTTGGGTTCCGTACCTGAGTTTTAGAGCCGCTACCAGTGCTCTATAGTTGTGCCTGTCGTTTGCTGACATCTGTCCAAGTATTTCCAGTGGTTGTCCCTTCAAGCTCGTTGTCAGATATACTGCTTTCTGCTCCTCTGTCCATCTGTTCATCTCTGCCAGTAGCTCAAATTGTGCTCTATATGCTTCCCACGGTGCCTTCCCATCGAATTCCTGTGGCTTTCTTCGTACTGGATCACTTCTGTTACTGACATTCATATCTGGGATGTGACTTCTAACAGGACTGAAGATATCTGCATTAGGGTTTAGCTGCGGGGTCTGGAAGGAGCTTGCCATTGTCCGGGGCTGGTTAAGTCGATGGTTAATGTATCCTCCTTGTGTAAAAGACAATAAATCTTCCTTTAACGTGTCTAATTCGCTTTTAAATTTGCTAATGTTTTCCATTTGTACTTCTTGTTTCCTTTCTTGTTCCAGTTGCCACTGCTGTAGTCTCTCTTCTTGTTTCTTTTCTCGTTCTTCTTGTTTCTTTTCTTTTTTATTTTCTCGTTCTTATTGTTTCTTTTCTTTTTCCTCCAGCAACTGCTGTAGTCTCTCTTGTTTATTTTGCTGTTGAGCTGCCACTGTTGCAAGTTTTCTTGCCACTGCTGTAATCTCTCTTCTTGTTTCTTTTCTCGTTCTTCATGTTTCTTTTCTCGTTCTTCTTGTTTCTTTTCTTTTTCCTCCAACAACTGCTGTAATCTTTCTTCTTGTTTCTTTTCTTGTTCGAGCTGCCACTGTTGCAGGTTTTCTTGCAACTGCTGTTGTCTCTCTTCTTGTTTCTTTTGCTGTTCTTGTATTGCTGGCATCAAATCTGCTAAGCTGTAGTTTGATTTGCCGCCTCTCGTTTCCATTTTTTTCTTTCTTTTCCGTCCCACTCTCTGACACCAATTTGTTACGTCTCCGATCGTTAGTTAATTTTCCGTAAATTCGTTCCGACGAAACTTTAGCGACACAAGTCCTTTCTTAAATAAAATTGGTTTATTCTCTCTGAATCCAACTTTGCGATACACTTAATTTCAACAGTCGCACTATAACAAACGCTATAATTCTCAACGAACGTCTCACGTGCTCGACTTCAACAATACTCAGTTCAATTACACATTGTTCCGCCACTTTGTGACCGTCTTATATATACCAGACTACCCCCCAATCTAGTAGTCTCCCGACAATTCACGAAGGTTCGAGAAGGACGTGGCGTGATACTAGTCACGTGACCTCGCTGACGCAACAATATATTTTAATAAGAGAGGAAGCAAACTTATACGAATAGTACATCATATATGCATGCAGTGTTTCTAAAAAGATTGAATTTTTTTTCCAGAATATAACTTTTCCCCAGCTGTTACGGAATAAAATGCATTTTTTGGAATGCACAAATATTTATATAGCGATACAACAATACATGTTATAAGATCGTTGTTAGATTTTTATATTTGTTGACATTGGTTAACTAAGACACCACAGAGTTTTAAAACACACCAAACTTCGTAACAAAGCAAATCGTTTAAATAAGGATGAACCTTACATTTGACTTCGAGCAATCTGATTTCATAATAAAGATTAGAAATTCAGTATGAATATAACATGGATTTAAGTTTCACCCATCTAGCTTCAGGATAATTAAATGGTTTCAATCAGGATAACATAGAGTCAGATCTGAGCCATTCAACCTGATAATAATCACATGTTTTAAAAAAGGATATAACATGGAGTGATGTTGGAGCCATCTGGCTTCATGATTTTCAAATGGTTTCAATAAGGATATAATGTTGAGTCAAGTTTCAACAGTCCATTCTCATGATTTTCAAAATTGTTTCAATACGAATGTAATGTAGAGTCAAGTTTCAACAGTCCATTCTCATGATTTTCAAATGGTTTCAATAAGGATATAATGTTGAGTCAAGTTTCAATAGTCCATTCTCATGATTTTCAAAATTGTTTCAATACGAATGTAATGTAGAGTCAAGTTTCAACAGTCTAGCCTCATGATTTTCAAACGGTTTCAATAAGAATAAAATGTAGAGTTAAGTTTCAGCCGTCTAGCCTCATGATTTTCAAACGGTTTCAATACGAATGTAATGTAGAGTCAAGTTTCAACCGTCTAGCCTCATGATTTTCAAACGGTTTCATTAAGAATAAAATGTAAAATTAAGTTTCAGCCGTCCAGCCTCATGATTTTCAAATGGTCTCAATAAGGACGTAGAGTCAAGTTTCAGCCGTCCAGCCTTATGATTTTCAAAGGGTCTCAATAAGGATGTAGAGTCAAGTTTCAAACGTCCAGCCTCGTGATTTTCAAATGGTCTCAATAAGATATAATATAGAGTCAAGTTTTAACCATCCATCCTCATGATTTTCAAGTTCTTTCATTAAGGATATAATACTGGCTGGAGACGGCTTGAATGAGTAATGAAGAAAACTTTAATATAAGTTTAACATAACAGCAAATGTACAACATTTCGACAAGGTTTTGTTATCATCAGGTACAAGTAATTTACGCTGACACGGATATATATATATATATATACAGTATTGAACAAAGAGGTCACATGAACGGATACTGTTGCAAAACTTAGAAGAGGTATCTTGGCACCCCGGGGTGTTGGTTTAGAATAGGGTTGTTTTGTTCAATTATGATGGATTCCTTGATTTTTCGTTTGTTTATGTTGGGTTCTTTGTTTAAAATGACTGTGGTTTTAATAGATATACTATGTTTTTCTGAGTTGCAATGGTGAAAAACATGGGACGGTTTTTTATTGTGTTCTGTCAATCTGGTTTTCAATTTTATTCCTGTTTCTCCGATATAGAATTCTGGGCAGTTATTGCATGTTATTTTTTAAATGACGATGGTATTGTGTGATTCTAAGTAATTTTTGTTTAGTAACGATTTTATTTTAGGGCCGGGTTTTTGTGAGAATTTGACGTTGACAGGAATATTGTGTTTAATGGCTAGTTTTGTCCAAGTGTGGATAATTCTTGAGCTGGTTTCAGGAACAAAAGGTAAACTGCAGTGTAATGTACTGTTGTTGGGTTTGTTAGTATCAATTTTGTTCGTGAGTTGAGTTTTGTTGTGGGGAATGTTGGAGAGTTTTCAACAATAGCTGGTGGGAATTTATTGGTGTGAATAAAGGAATGCTTTACGTGGTTAATTTCTTCATTTGTGTAGTCCGTTAAACAGAGTCTTGTGGCTATATTTATGAGGTTTTTAAGTGTATTGATTTTTTTGTGTGGTGTCATGAGCGGAATTCCAGGGGATGTAGAGGCCAGTGTGTGTGTGTTCTTGCGGTGAATTTTGGTTTTAAACTGTGTGTCCGATCTAATAATTTTGAGGTTAAGAAAAGAGAACTGTTTATTGTTTTCGTGTTCTATGGTAAATTTGATGTTGGGATGAATGGAATTTACGTGTTTAAAGAAAGTTAGAGTGTGTTCTGTAGAAGTGAAACCAGCAAAAGTGTCATCAACATATCTGTACCAGTATAGTGTGGGATGAAGCGCAGAATGTATGGCTTGTGTTTCGATCTGGGTCATAAATATATTGACAAGAACGGGCGAAACAGGATTGCCCATACTTAAACCATCTATTTGAAGGAAATGTTCGTTGTTGAAAATGAAGTTGGTTTTAGTCGTTGTAAATTCTAAGAGAGAAGCAAAAAGTGTGTTGGGGATTTGCATTAACTTGTTGTAGTCATTAATATAGAGGTTGAGTGCAATATTGCAAGCTTCATTGGCGGGGACTTCGGTGAAGAGTGACACGACATCAAAACTAGCCATTAAGGCTTTCAAATTTAGTTGTTCTAGTGTATATTTGAAATTGAAGGCATCTTTAAAAAATGAACCTG